GTGACCGCTTGGTAATATCGGGTGTTGTAAGCTAGGATGTGTGGGTGGTGTAATAGATAAGAGTTCAGAATTGTTAATCGGAGAGCAGAGATCCAATTCTCGTTGTGTTAGTTTTATTCACTTATGCGAAAATACTCTTGGGTATGAGATATGAATCCACCTATTCTCCGACCATCTATGGGTTAATTCGGAAGACTTGTATCAGTAAACTATTATTATCTCGCACCCACAAATTTAAATCTATATTTTCTGGCTTTAAATAACCTGCAAAGTGTTGATAATCCGTAGAAAAAGAATGAATCAAGAAATCTAGAGAACGCTGGTACATCAGAATGCCTAAATGGAAAGACTAATTCAATAGATTCTTATTCAATATAACCCAATGCCAAAATGGGCCTCTTATTCAGAATATGTTCATGATAAACTGGTGAAAATGGATCGGCCTCACCAGAAAGAGATTGAAAAATGACTAATTTGGTAAATTTTCGAAATGTGGCTTCAGTAGGGAATTTTTCAGCATCGTTTTCTGTATACATCTGAAGGCTGTAGGAAATTATTTATTCGTAGGTTGGTAGGATAAACACACGCACACACAGACACACACACACATATATATATATATATATATATATATATATATATATATATATATATATATATAAAATTAATGGATTTCATTTTAATCGGACACTATTTTAGTCGATGCACGTTCTTGAGTAGACACGTCTACAAAACAAGTGATTCTACTAAAAATAACGTCGAGAATATATATATATATATATATATATATATATAGAGAGAGAGAGAGAGAGAGAAAAGGAGAGGGAGATAGAAAGATCGTAAGTACATATATACAGATAGATTAGAAGTAAAAATATCGATAGATAGAAATAAACAAATATAAATAGATACACACACACACATATAAAGTACAAAGATAGATAGATAGATAGATAGATAGATAGATAGATAGATAGATAGATAAGAAATACATAGATAGATGTAAAAAGATAGACAGATGAGGACAACAAATATATATATATATATATATATATATATATATATATATATATAGATAGATAGATAGATAGATAGATATATAGATAGACAGATGAGCAAAACATAGATAGAAAGATAGATAAAAGTAAAATGATAGAGAGATGAGAAGAAAGGTTAATAGCAAGATATAGAGATATTTAAGAAGAACAATAATATATGAGTGGATATAGAGATAGATAGATAATAGAACAAACATAGATAGAGAGAAAGTGAGATAAGAAATAACATCACATATAGATAGATAGACATATAGATAGATTGCCATATATATATATATATATATATATATATACATGTTAGAAATTTAAACGTCGATAGATAGATATAATTTATTTCCAGATAGGCGTTCGTCGATTGTGTTCATTTTATACAATTGCTGGCACATTTAACGCGTAAATCTTATTTTTATACTTGTTTCTATAAAGCATATACTTCGTTTGGAGATTGATAAATATATTCTTTTTGAGCCTGCAATCATTTACTTCGTAGAGGGGAATAATACATCGTTTATTATATTGAATCTATAGCCATTCAGTTGGTTTTTTACAAAGATAAATACTGAACGTTTATATTTGCTTATTTGGTTCGTGGATCGGAAAATATTAGCCAGTTCTATTTGCGCCTTTAAGAATTTATTTGGTTCGATGATAGGTAAATATAGATTCCCTATATCTAAATCTGTAAGCCTTTACTTGCTTCTGTGAAATATTAAATATCGCTTGTTTATATTTGAATTTGTAAGTATTTATTTAGTTCGCTCTTAGTTAACTATTTATCATATGAAAATGTGTAAATTGTCCCCATTTTATTTTTTTTTAATTTCGCGCATGCGCGTTATTTGTCTTTGATTTTTTCCAACTGCACTATATAGTAGTCTCAGTTGGGCACCGTCTGTAAGAAAAAGAACGTCATGACGCAGTTCACTCCGCCAGAAATTTGGGAACTGTATGCAATACTGCTTGGCATTCGAACCGAAAGCTCCAATACGGACATTTCAGTGTCTTTGAGTATCAATCTGAGGAGAGTACAGACGATTTGAAATGAGTTAGTTGAGTCTAACTGTGATTACGAAGGTACGGCGGCTCGGAAAACTCACTATGATCGCCCTGATAAGAAAAGAACTCACTGATTTGTTAGTGAGAGCCTCAGACACAACACGGAGGCCTACATCAAGTGCCTTAACGAGGTAGCGCTACCTTGTGTCAAAAAAGCGTGGTTGCTGAAAGACCCTATGTCTCTCGACATGTCTCTGCACCATGCTACACAAGCAGGAGAACCCAGTCATGGTAGTTACACAATTTCTACGACCATATCACCCCTTATATCTGGCCACCTAACCAACCAGACTGAAACCCCTTTGATTATTATGTATAGGACACAGCTGAACGAACGACCAACAAAACTCCTTGTAACACCATTAACGAGCTAAAGGCAAGGACTATGGTAGCATTCACTAACCAAGAAAACCACCCAGAAGAGTTTTGCACGAGATTCCCAAATCGTCTGGAGGTCGTGGTTGAAGCCAATGGCGATTTTATTAAATAACTTTTCTCATTAGTATTTCAAGATATATTTTTGTGTAATTTTGACATATATATCTCTGAAGATGATATGCCTGTGTTATTTTCATTTTTTCATAATTAAGAGGACAATTTATCCATCGTACCCTATATATTTATATCTATAAGTATTTACTTGTTTTAGGGATAAATAAATATAGGTTATTTATAAATGAGTCTGTAATCATTTATGTATCCGGTGTTAACTAAATATTGGTAATACATATTTGTGTCTGTAAGCATTTGCTTGTTTGATTTGAGTGCCAACGTAAAAAATTTAAATAACTGGGAAGTGTTCTAACAGAAGACGGAAAGTGCGACACTGTTATCCGAAGACGTATTGCGATGGCCAAAGATGCATTCCAAAAGCTAAGCAGAGTATTAAGAGACAGAAAAACATCGTGAGAAACGAAGAAAAGAGTACTGAACTGTTAAGTTATATCTGTCCTCCTATATGGCAGCCATTGCTGAACAATCTTCTCCTCAAAGATGAAGAAGTGACTTGAAACTACAGAAATGAGGTTCTTCAGAGGATACCATGGGCCGACCATGTGAGTAACGAGAAGGTTTTGCAGAAAATGATAACCAAAAGAAAACTTCTAGTTAACATCAGGAAGAGACAGCTTAAATTTCTGGGCCACATAATAAAAAAGGACTGCTTGGAAAACCTGAAACTCACAGGACAGATTGAGGGAAATTGGGACAGAGGAAAGCTGTGCGTAAGAAACTTGATGGGTTTGAGCAAATTAATAGGAGAGCAGGGTTTTGGATAAATGACAAAAAGACAAAACTTATTAAGCGCTACAAGGGAGGGGAAGATGTAGAAGGCTATGAACGCCTATGTCCTGACGGTACATGGCACATAGAAGAAGACGAAGATTAAGAAGAAGAAGAAGAAAAAGATTACAAAGAAGAAAGAGAAGATGTTCAAGAAGAAGAAGTGATACGTAAATGTTGGTTGTTTATGACTGAGTCTGTAGGTATTTAATAGATTCGTAGATGACTAAATATCAGACATACATATTTATTTCTGTAAGTATTTACTTGTTCGGTAATAAGTTAATAAGATAGGTAGTGCATTGGAATTTCAAGCCCACAATATTCTTTCATTTTGCTTTGTATCGGGGGGTCATTTACTCTTAGTAAATATAAAACATGGATCAGCATACGTGTGTCTGTTGGGTTATTTCACAAAACCCACCAAAATTAAGTTTGGGTCTATATACCCTCTTGTTCAAATTAATTGAAACAACCATTTTAGTTTCCTTATTTTTTTTCACAATACGTTCAGTTTTAGACCCACTGGAGTGACAGGGTGTAATCGATACGGGCAAGAGGAAAGCGGCAGGTAACCTACACCCTTGTGTAAATTAATTGAAACAACCGCTTTAGTTTCCTTTCTTTCTCATTACGATCAGTTTTCGACCTGCTGGAGTGACAGGGTGTAATCGATACAGGTAAGTGATTGTAGTGTTCTGACTAAAGTCAAGAAAGTATAAAAAAAATAGAGCCTATAAATGAGAAAAGAGGGCACGGAGAATTTGACACTCACAGGACAAATTCAAGGGAAGTGAGACAGAGGAAAGCAGTAAGTTAACTATTCCCTTGTGCAAATTATTTAAAACAACCGCTTTAGTTTCCTTTCTTTCACTATGCGGACAGTTTTAAACCTACTGGAGTCACAGAGTGTAATCGATTTATGTTTTTTTCCTCAGATTAGGTCATTAGCAGTGGTGTGCAGTAATATGAATGTCTTTACGGGGTGCATGATGAAATTTGTTTTGCCTTGAAAAATATTGCGTGATGCGTGATTGCATTAGATTTCTATCACGCCCAGATACTTTTGTCTAGACTGTCGATTAGTTGTCCTACGGCCATTGTCTGCGTTGGATGTTACTCCAAGGAAGCGTACGAAAGTTGTAACGCTATACAATCACATTGGCAAGCCTTATCAATAACTGTCCCGGAAACTCACCTGGTTTAAATCCAATCGAGTATCTGTAGTCAATCTGCATGGAACGACTTCATGGAATGGACATACGAAATACTAACATATGCACTGGGTCATGTTTCATTGGGAAAATTCAAGAAAAGTAAGTAATAACGGAATTATTCATTTTGTTTCAATTAATTTGCACAAGAGTGTAGGTGATCATGGCCCTCCACATCATCCCGTATAATTAATTTGCACAAGGGTGTATGAATCATGATATAAATTCCTGGTTATTTGGCCAATATTAAGAGTTCCTTTATCGACAAGACATATAAATAAAAAGATATTGACAAAAAATTCCTAAGCTGATTTATCAGTGGAAATCGACTTATATACAAGTACAATAGGCATTTGCAGTTGAAATTAAAAAAAAATAAACCTTACTATACTCACCCATCGGCGATAAAACTCGACCAAATCTTTATCATATCCTCGCTCAGCTTCCTTTCAGCCGAGGTCGCATTGAGCCCTTCATCTTTCAAAACATTGCCAAAGATGAAAGGAAGTTCGTCCGTTTGTCTTGCCGCTACACCATCACCCGTTTTAACAAATGATGATTTCAGTGTGAAATAATAGAGAAATAAGGGTACACCAGGCGGCGAAGTCATTACCTCGGAGATTGCCTGGATAAAAGAAACGTATTTGCCGTTGTAAGCATCACGAAGGGATCGACTGTAAGGCTTCCTGTCTGAGTAATACTTCGATCGAATGGCAAGCCGAGTCAATTCTCCATTACCGCACTCAGTTTCATTCATCAACATGGAGGAGTCAATAGATATTGTTTCTTTGGTGTGTGCTCCTGTTTCGCCTAAAGCGTCGAGACGCGAAAGGAAAGTCATTCGGTTGTGATGGTTCCATGTCTGCCTAATGGGAACTCCATCGCTGTTAACCCCAATCAAACAGCTCACCCCGAAATGTCTTCTTTGTACAGTGTTAAAAGAAAACGCTTTAGTTAGACTCGATGTTACGTAGTGTGAGTCGACTACAGGAACGAAAGAATGGTGCGGTAGCTTCATGGATATTTCCAACAGGCTCTGTGGAGATCGGCTTTGGAGACAACGGACTGGATCTAATTGTTGCAGTTCATCAAACGTCAATATGTCATTTTGAAGTCCTTTGTTTCCATGACCCGCCTTCATGTCTTCCTCAGTTTGATTCTTAACTGAAGTAGTGCCAGCATCGCATTTCGCAGACAGGATAACTTCCTTGAACGTCGATTGAGTGTCCACACCTTCAATAAAAACACCGCCTCCAATGATCGCCCGACTGAACAAGCCTTTAGCTCCGGCGCTGGCAATATGATAATATACACAAGTTGCACCTGTCGACTCTCCGTACAAAGTAATACGTGAGGGATCACCCCCAAAAAACTCCACGTTTTTCTGAATCCACTCAAGTGCGACACGTTGATCTAGCAAGCCCGCGTTACCGCTAATCTTTTCGTCTCCAGAAGCAAGAAAACCAAATATATCCAGGCGATACCCAATGGAGACTATAATCAACTGTCCTCGATTGCTAAGCAAGCTAAAATCAATATAACTGTTATATCCATAGATGAAATCCCCACCGTGGAGCCAAACGAGTACGGGGTAATTTCTGTCAGAATTTTCCGGGTCAACGCCAGGCACGTAGATATTCAGATACAAACAATCCTCGGACATTTTTGCAGGTCTTCGATCGTTCAACGGGTGGCGTCTCTGGATGCAGGCTGGGGGATTTTCGGTCCCGTTCCGAATTCCTCGCCACGGATGGACTGGCTGCGGCTCTCTGAAACGTAATTCGCCGATAGGGGGCTGAGCGTAGGGTATTGAACGATACTGGGTGACATTTGTCGCTTCGTCGTAAAGTCCGCTTATTCTTCCGTTCTTGGTGGTCACCACGCTCAGCTGGAACCCCCCCTCGCAAGAGGGGCACCAGAAAAGAACTGTCCCCAGGGCTCCGATCAGGAGAACTCTGATAACGTAACGCAAAATACAGTACATGTTTTCCTTCTGCACAGAGAAATAAAATTGCACAAGCTTTTCACTGCACATGTTCCTCCGCCTACTTCTGCTGCTCCCACTACTACCCCAAGCAAAATAAATATGGCGGAATGTTGAATTCAGTCTACTTGCATAATAAAAGTTATAGTCAAAATAATTATAAAAATAATATATTCTTGGTGATATATATATATATTTTTTTTTTCTACGCTGTCGTTTTGATAGCAATAGAGTTAAAGGTTATGTCTTTTCAAATGATAAGGTCGGCGGGAGGTAACATAATGCATTTAATAACTTTTTAAGTTTAAATGTCAGCTGGAAGGTTTAAATTAAACGATGACGTTTTCCACAACAATAGCAATGCTTGTAAAGTTATTAACAATACAAATGGCAATGCTGCGTTTAATTTGTATAGCGAGGGAAGCAATACCGATATTAGAATTAATAATAATAACTCGTTGTAACCCGGGAAAAATTCACGCTTTTCCTAGTTTAATATTCTAATGAATCTTAATTCTTCAGTTGATGATTGAGTAAGTTGATGGCGAGTTCTAAGACTATAAAATATCCGTAGAAATTCCCCTGTCGCATCATTAAATATTTGGCCTTAACAACTTTAAAAATATTAATTATGAATACTCGTTATTTTAAGAAGTGGGTACAAATGAAAAGATTTGAAATTGATAATTTTTTCCCTTTCACTGAAAAAGTCGTTAAACATTTCTTTCTTTCTTTCTTTCTTTCTTTCTTTCTTTCTTTCTTTCTTTCACTTTGTCACTGAAACCAAGTAGTGTTTCCCCCCTCAATCCACGCGATGAAAACAAAATAGTCCATTATTTATGAGGTACTGGCAGAATATAACCGCCCGGTGAATTATGGATTGGGTGGGAGGACATACATAATAATAATAATAATAATAATAATAATAATAATAATAATAATATACTAAATAAATCTTTTTGAAAAAACTAAGAAAAATATGACACTTTTTTAATCATTTCACCTCATTCAAGGCAATAAAGCCACTAACACGCAAGGGGTTACGGAGCGTAAGAGAATATAACAAAAATTAAAAAAAAACATTATTAAAGTGAGAGAACAATAAAAGAACCGGAATTAAGAAATCAGGAGATAACGATTGACATTGCATTTAAATTTTTGAAGATCAATGTTGTCTGAGAAGCAAGAAGCCATAAGAATGTTTCACAAGCGAGAAGTGTGAGAGAAGAAACTGTTAACATAGAATTTACGGTTCTATGTAGTTATTTCAGCTGTAAAATGATGAGACCTAATTGCCAATCTAGCACAGCGCTTAAATTCATAAAATCTAGATACCATAGAAGTAAGTTCCTCAGAACAATTACAATGAAAATACTTATAGACAAAGCACAGGGAAGATACGTTGCAGCAGTAGGAAAGTGACTGAAACTGAGATGCCACGTCAGGACCAATAACATTACAGATTCTTTTTTGTATTTTATCAAAAATAAAAACTAAAACTGTTCCGGTTGTGGTTAGAGCTTTGGGTTTTCTGAAGAAAGGAACAGAAGAGCAAATGAAGAAAATCTCTGGTGCACCATCTCTTCAGGAAATCCCTAAAATAGTTCTTATAACAAGCAGAAATAGATCTAACAATGCTTTTATCAAATTCTATCACCATATCGAGCACATTTGGCTGTGAAGCATGTGTTTGGCAAACAGGGTGTCAATATGTGTTGGGCTTCTTGTATTTTTATACCAGCACCATTTGGTGTATTAATGTTTGGTTTGGTTTGGTTTTTTTTACGGCATATCAACCTCAATGGGTTATTTAATGCCGACAAGATTTTTTACGATAGGTTCGTATGAATAGAATATGGTTTCGTTTATTTTGTTTTACGGCATCTCAACCTCAATGAGTTATTTAATGCCGACAAGATTTTTATTGCTGGTAATAATTTTTTTTTCAAAAATGTATTGCTGGTAATAATTTTTTGTACAAATGTGTTTCTTGTATTAAAAACTATTTGCACACTTTCATAGTATTTTAACCCCTGTTTGGGGGTTAACTATTTACCCATAGCTGGAATCCTAACAGGTGCTACCATAGCGGCTTAGGATGGACCTGGGAACACCAGCAATTAAGAGGTAGTTCCACGCTCCTGATCAGAAGCTTTGTTGTTGGACATAGTTTATCGTCTTACCCAGGACGCGGATGTAGTTTATCGTCTTACCCAAGAGGGTGTACTATGGTCTCTCTCGGTCTCTCTATCTTTTAATAATAACAATAATAATAATAATAATAATGAAATTAATGGATTTATATAAAGTATAGAGATGTGAACATCAAGTCGGATTTGGAAAAAGAGTCTGTGAAACAAAAAAATAACTTTTGTTAAACCCGAATGAAACGAATGAATGTGCATAAGAAATAGAAGAGAAATAATTAGGAATGGATAAGTTTACTTATCGTCCCTTTCACACTCCTCCCTGGCTTTTTGAACAGGAGTAGCGGTTTATCTCTTGTTTCCTGTTTGGATTGTTTCCGATTCCTTCTAAAGTCAAATCTATAATTCTAACGTCTCCGACGAAACGCTGAAATTTTATCCACTAATTATTTTTTCTCCTTTCTCATTAAGAGTAGATAGGCTCGCCTATCGCCAGGTTCACATTCCTCCTTAATTTGTTTTTTTAACAGTAGTAGATGTTTATCACTTGTTTCCTCTTTAGGATTCGGTTTCCAGTTCCTTTCAAAGTCTATTTTCCACGCTATTACATCTAACGTTTCCGAATGAACTCTGAAATATTCACTAATTAATTCTTGATCTATTCAAGTCCATAATGAGTTATTATCTTTCCTTGCCGTTTTGATTTATTAGAAAAAAGAAGGTTTACAACAAATTGGACATACGATTAGTCATCAAAGTAATTCCCTTTGGTATCCAGAACATTTGGCCAACGTGCTTGAATTGCACAATTCATTGTCAGTAAAAATCAGGTAACGCAAAGAAGTCAGCCAAGTTGTGAAGGATTTGACACGAAGATGGTTATCCAGGAAATGGAAGGGGTCGTAATCTGTTGGCGTAAGTCTCGGGGAGTAGGTAAATGGTATAGTGTCTACCAGTCAAGACGCCGTATGGTATCCCTGGCCAACCGCGCCATATGCTCCTGGCATTGTTATGGAGGAACAAGAACAGTACACCCTTGCGATTAAGCAATGCTGGCTCCTTCTGTTTAGTTGCCTGTTTCACACGTTTCAACTGCTGCAAGTACAGGTCCGCAGCGTCATTTGTCTCTTTGGTAGCAGCTCACCGTGCACCACTTGTCGATTAGGCCACTAGAGGCAGAGCCTGTGGAGGTTGTGGTGTGAAGCACAAGGTCCTGAGGTATCAATCAATGTCTGGCACTCTTGGTAGTATCGTACAGGACCCACTTTTTGTAACTGGCGAGCACTCTATCAATTATGTTGCAGTATCGAGAAAGCAACGAGAAACAGGCTGTCACTTGTCGTTGCTTGTTGGATCCCGAAAGTATATGGGGTAACCACTTACTCATTTTGCACGCCTTCGCTATGCAGTGCAGGTTAAATCTGACTATTTCATCAGAAATCTGGAAGCGTTCGACAAGCTTGCCACAGGTTTGGCTGTTGTTCTCTATGGTTGCTTTCAGGGCCTCATCATCTAGGATCGGTGGCCGACCACTGTGGGTTTCATCACAAAGTGACAGATCTCCTGACTTGAATTTCTGGAACCAATACATGTCGATGCGTTCACTCACAGTATTATACTAAAAGGCTTGACGTATTCGGTTATAAAGCAAACAACCCCGGGGAGCTACTTCGACACCGCTATGTTTCATCTCTATTGCTCATGCTATGACTGATGCATGTACGCAACGCACCTACTTTAGTCAAGACCAATGCCATCATCCCCACGCAGATTACGCACCCATTTGCGTATCAGTGATCTCTTCTTTCCACAAGATATAAAAACCGGCAAGGACTTTTTGGTTACCTTATAGGAATGATAACTTCGAAAACAACCATTTCCATTCAGGAAACATTAGACCTTCGTTAATAGAAAATTTAGTACTGCTGTTAGTTGACATTTATAAAAATATTCTTTTTTTAGCGAATTTTTTTTTAATGGCAATTAGATTTCTCTCGTCCACTAACTGTTATAGCCCTTTCTACTACGAATGTTGGTGTTATGATAATAGTTTCATCAAGTCAAAGTCCGTAAGCGGTACACGCTTGGGCGATCACATATCTTACGTCTCGTGTCTGACTGGATAGAAGATTTTCAACACTGCGGTAGACTGGTGGCCAACCAAGGCTATAGGGCCTAGTCTCTTCTGTTATTCAACATATAGCTGCAGGGAATAGAGATAGATACACACCTTTTTCAAGGTTATTTTCACGTAAATGAATCTAACTTACCCGACTACAATTCGAACACGATTTTGATAAAGCACTGATGTACTTTCAACTTGCCGATAACTAATTCATCATTTCGCTGGACCAACCTTAATTGTTTTATGACCCTTCGCGCAGAACTCTTCATTGCCAATTCAAAAAAGAAATTCGGATTACTAACACAAAAACAGAGAATGTCTCATATCGAGAATATTTAACATTGAACATAAGGAAAAAATTAATTATTTTTAATAATATGTGGAAATCTCCGCTTTTACCTGAAATCGGTCGCGAAACCAGAAACACGTGTCGTACAATTAGGGAAAACAAAGCATAATATATTTTTTCTAAATAAATCCACATTACAACCAAAAACGTTTGCGGCACCTCTCTTCTCTTCTTTTTAATATACATACTTTTCTCTCGTTGGAACCACTACAACCTCTTTCTTTATATATATATATATATATATATATATATATATATATATATATATATATATATATATATATATTAATACTCGGTTGTTAAAAACCTGGGATAACACAACTTGCAACTGTATCAAAACAAATTGGTCCCCGAGGGAAAATTGGTAAAAAAGAAAGAACTAGAAAGATTCGAGCAGGGCGAAACAAATCCTTCAGTGGCTTAAGTTTTTAGTCCAAAGAAAAACCCCAAGCGAATAATAAGGCTCTCGTCAATGATCCGCTTAGGTGAAAGCTATGTAGGTT